AATATATCATCCTTTTTTTTAATTCTAGGCCACCAGCTTTAGCTCTGAGGCTCGGCTCCAGCTATGAGACCTCCGCTGCTGAAAGCAGATTTCTTGCCTTTTTTTACCCTTCTCTATTTTAAACAATGTTGCGGTCCTGTTGGCTGAAGCCCCCGGTTTTGTTTAGCTTCTGTATGTGTTACAATGTTGCTTAGAGTGCAGCTGAGAGCCGGGCTGCAGCAGGCGGGGAACCTTGGCTTTCTCCATCACAGGAGCAAGCAAACCTCATGTTTGCTTGAGCTGTGTGGCTGCCGGCCGCCAACTTTGTTGGCAGTTAATTTGCCAATTACCCTGATTAGCCAATGGGAAGCAGAGCAGAGGTATGGTTATTTACCCTTTTTGTCTTTTATTACATAGGATTCTGGAAGTATTCCTTGGCCTAATCACCCTAGTTCACTAAGTTACCCCTCCATTTTTTCATTCGGCTATGGAGCCATCTATTAAATTCTTAATGGCAACAATTACTTTTTTTTATTTTCAAGATCTCTTGACGCTCTTTTGTAAAAGTCAAGATGCGGGTGTTGTTTCATGGACATAACAGCATGCTCTCGACCTCTAAAGCTATCAGTCACTCCTGAGCAGTGGAGTTCCTCAGGCCTCCCAGCTGCAAAGCCTCCTGTCCCCATCTCGCTGGCTGCTGGCAGCCCTCGTGTCCTGGGCAGTCCCTGCTGCAAGCTCCTTTCCTAGACCCTCACTCCCTCTGCGTGGACAACCCGTCGGAAGTGAGGGGGACGTGGCTGTGGGCGCTTGTGTTCCTTGCTTTTCTCAGTGAGCACAGGGGGCAGGCAGAGCTGAGGACAGCAGCTGGGTCAGATCTCACCGGGCCTCTCATTGTCCTGTCACCTCAGCTCCCTGAGGCCCTTTCCCCTTTCTTCATCCTAACAGGAACCTAAAGACTGGGTGGAGAAGGAAAGGAGTGCCCGTATTCACGGGACACCGCTCCCTACACCGCTCCGCCAGAGGCCACCGCTTCCAGACTTGGCGGCACTGCCCCAGGCCTGGTCAGTCCCACTCCCTTGACCATCTCAGCCCACCTTTCAGTCTCTCAGGAATTCTTTCCAGTGTCTAGTCACTTAAGAAATTAACTTCTTGTTCTTGGTGGTGGTGGTGCGGGGGGAGGGGTTGGCTGGAGATTCCGGTGCTTGTTTATACTAGTTCTGTAACTCCCAGGTTTGGTGCAGCGGAGGGAGCCCGCAGCCTGTACTTACTCAGTCTGACGTCTTGAACCATCACATTCAGCTGAGCCTCCTGAGCCAAGGCAGGACACCAGGGATTGCAGAAAACACGGGAATGTTCCGTATGTTGGCCATTTCCCTTCTGGCTCTTGGAGACTCCGTTCCCTGACCCCTTTGACAGCTGGCTTCTGGGTACGTTCAGCCTATGGGAGGCACTGGGGGAGCTTGGAGGGGAGCAGAGGGAGCATCTAGGGGTCCTTGCCAGGAGGACACCTGGTCAGCAACCCAGCTTCCACCGGGCAGCCTGCATCATGGGCCAGCCCCCGCAGGCCAGCTCCAGGCTCAGGTACTGGCATCACGACCTCTCCCCTTGTCCCCTGGGTCCTGGAGGGGAGCTCCCACTGGTCCTGACTCGGGGTGCTGCAGCGTAGCCTCAAGACCACCTCCCACACAGTGCATTTCCTCTCTTAGATGCCTTTCGTAGGAAGGTCTAGAATGATTTTTCTTCCTGGCTGGACCCTGACATAAATAAAAATTCTGAAGAGCCATCTTCAAGGTCATGTTTGGTAGTCCCTGTCTGAGGCGAAGGGAGGACCATCGCAAAGGAATTCTCACTCGGGTTCTCAATATCTAAGGTATCGCAAGGTATCACAAGGTCATGACATGACATTTTTTTTAAATGTGAGTTTTGGCAGTTTATTTCAGCGTAGCTGCATACTTCCCACAATGAAGTTTTGTAAGAACAACCTGAAGGGCCCCTCGTAGTATTAAACACAGTGTTCTAGAATTTGGAAACGCTGTCTGGAGGAGTAACTGCTTAGGGCATAACCGAAAGCTTGCTTTAGACTTACCGCAGGGGAAGCCACGAAATAGAATAAAGGAAATATTTTCATTGTCTCTACTGTTTACCGTTCTCTCCTCCGGGAGAGGGTGAGGTGAAGCAGCCACGTCCCTTGAGAAAGAGCTTGTACAGCTCTGTTTCTAGTTTGGAAGTAGAACTGCCACCCCCCCCACACACCACCCGCC